TAGATAAGATAGATAAACTTTATTTAAGCACACTAGTCCCATTCAACACTAAGCTGATTTCCATGAGAGGTGTGCTGGCTAATTGTTACAATTTAAAAACTAATTTATTAATACATACAAACTATTATTATATAAATCTATTAAATATTCATTTAAATAAACTACTTAAATTAATAAGGCCGAGGGCGAGGAGAAAAGGTTTTTACAAAACGAGTTGTAAGATATCGAATTTCGAATATTTTCTGGTATTCTATTCCATAATTTAGCCCCACTGTAACTGAAACTTTTTTAAAAAAATTCTGTCCTGGGCCTTGGAATAAAAAGCCCAGTGAAGAACCTCTTAAATTATAACTATTTACAGTGTTGGAAGATTGGAAAATGTTACACAGTCTTTGTGGAGCTAATTGATTTACTGTTTTGTACATGAGCTTGGCCTTCATTAATGCTCTACGTTCTTCAAGGGATGTCCAACCAAGAGCAGTACGAGCTAAGATAGACTGTCCATGCTCATTTTTAAAATTCATAATTACTCTAACCGCTCGATTTTGCAATTTTTGAAGACGTTCGCCGAGGCCTTTGCCAAGCTCCTCCCAAACCTCACAACAGTAATCAAAATGCGGTTGGATCAATGCATTATACACCAGCACTAATGTATCTCGGTCTACAAATTCTTTAAGTTTTTTTAACGCACCAATCCCCGAAGATACTTTACTAGCGATATATTCAATATGTTTTTCCCAGTTTAGGTTCTCATCGATTTCACTCCTAGCACTTTTGCGCTTTTTACTCTTTTGATTGGACATGTGTCGATCTTAACTGTGGGTTGGACATCCATGCTATTAATCTTAGAACGTGATCCAATCAAAATATATTCCGTTTTCGCAATATTTAAGCTAAGTTTGTTTGAAGACAACCACACTTTAGTATTTTTCAAATCCTTATTCGCTATCTCTTCTGCTTCATTTAACGTTTTGCCCACAGCTGTAAGGCTGGTATCGTCTGCAAACATCCTTGGTGTTGTATGTTTGAGACAATTTGGCAAATCATTTATATAGATAATAAACAGAAGAGGGCCAAGTATACTTCCCTGAGGGATGCCGCACGTTATTCCTCTCTGATCTGAAAGCATTCCATTTAGCTGACATCTTTGTGTTCGATTTGTTAAGTAATTACTTAGTAAATCTAGGGCTTTATTACCAAAGCCATACCGTTCGAACTTACATAAAAGAATTTCATGGTTGACAGTATCGAATGCTTTCGTTAAATCGAGAAGAACAGCTATGTTGTATAGGCCACGATCCATGTTAATATACCATTCATTAGTACAATCTAAAATTGTGGTAGTTGTGGAATGAAATTGTCTAAAACCAAACTGATGTTCTGAAAGAATATTCTGTTTCTTTAAATAATCATACATTTGGTCGTACAGAATCCTTTCCATCAGTTTGCTGACCACAGGTGAAATTGAAATTGGTCTATAATTGTCTAACATAGTCCGTTGGCCTTTTTTAAAAATTGGAGTTACTCGTGCTGCTTTCCACTCCATCGGGAATCTGTCAGTGGCAATAGACCTATTAAAAATTCTTGTTATAGGCTGTGCAATAGCAGGAGCTGCAGCCTTTAATACTTTAGCTGAAATTTCGTCGATACCTGTAGCTTTGGAGATAGTTAGTTTGGTTATAAGTCTATAAACTGTTGCAACATTTACAGGTTGGAAAATAAATCTCTCAACTGGTTCATGTTGAGGAATGAAATCTCGAAAGCTACAGTTGTGTTCTTATTCAACTTTTTCAGCAAGTTTAGGACCAACATCGGTAAAATAATCATTAAAAACATTAACCAGTTCAATAGTTGATGTAACTGTTTTCTCTGGTAGATTAATTTCGTTAACAATATTTTGCTTCTGACTTCTGCCTAGTATCTCATTAACTGTTTTCCACGCATATTTTGGGTTCGTTTTGTTATTGAGGAATTTTGTTGCATAGTATTCCCTTTTAGCATTTCGCAAGGCAATATTTGCAGCATTTCGAGATGACTTGTACAGCTTCCAATCATTTTCATTGTTGGTTTTTATTGCTACGCGCTTAAAGTGGTCTCTCTGAAACAGCTTATTTTTAACACTTTTATTGAACCAGGAAACATTACCCTTTTTCCTTAATCTTTTTAATCTCTTCGGTGCGTGTTTGTCAAGCACTTGAAGAAATAAGGTTTTCCAGCATTCCCACATTTCATCCACGTTTTGTTTGCAGTCAAGCTCTACCCATGGAAGCATATACAAGTCACTAAGAAAGCTTTCAACATTGAAATTCCTAAAGTTTCTAAATTCAACCGAATTTTGAGAATTTCCTTTAATCACGGAATTTAGTTTACGTGTTGCATAGATTAAACTATGATCACTTATACCGAGATGCACCACGCCTGATTGAATAATTTTATCCGGAGAGGAAGTAATGCAAACATCAAGTAATAATTTTGTAGATTTGGTAACACGTGTAGGATCATCAATTATTTGTGTTAATTGGTACAGTTGCATTATTTCCTGAAGCATTTTAACATTCGACAAATTTGAATCGAGTAGATTACAGTTTAGATCACCTAACATGTAAACTTCTTTGTTTTCATCATCCACTAATTGAATTAGCCTTTCAATTTTTGAGAAAGTCTCAACAGTTATATTTGGAGGTCTATAAACACTCGAAAAAATGAAAGACTTACTATTGGCTTGTTTTATTTCCAAACAAACGGCTTCTAGATCGTTTGGAATTAAATCTGGACGGTTTTCATAGTTTGCATGACACCTAACGTATATACATACTCCCCCTCCATTTCGTTTTCGATCAGAGCGCAGTATATCGTAACCCTCGATACTCATAAGGTCGTCCGAAATAGAGGAGTCAAGGCGAGTTTCATTTAGTGCCAAGATATCCAATTTTTTATCATGCAATAGCAGGCGAATTTCGTCAAGGTGTTTCGGAAGGCTAGCTATATTGAGCATAGCCATTCTAAAACCTCTTAATTTAGGAATATCTGACCAATTTGTCTCATTATCTTTCCCCCTCGGCCTCTTATCATATCATTTTAATATATTTCCTATATTGGCTTGTAATAGGGCACTCCCTTCATGAGTTAGGTGTAAGCCCCTGCGATTTAAATGTAAGCTGTTTATATTACTATTATCTAGAAACGACCAATTGTTTTCTTCACATTTTAATTTCAAAGCAACATATGGTCTGTTTTACCTTACTTGCAAATTCGGGATTATCCGTTCTAATGGTCTGTTTTACCTTACTTGCAAATTCGGGATTATCCTCTCCAGCTGGCGCATGGCCACGCCAAAGCCTATTTTCAGTAATCGCAATCATCGAGAGCGGAATTACCAGGCTACCAGCGAATTGCTTGCAAGAAATCGCCGCATAACTGATAAAAACGCAATGTGAACGATGTTAAGCTAACTGTTTTTGCTGAGAAAACGATCGAAAATAAAAATCGAGCAGGGGAAACAGAAAGAAAAAAAAATTCGTGCACCAAAAAAGTTTGAAAAAAAAATTCGTGCAGAGACTTTTTTCACTAGGGAAAATTATAATTCGAAATAAAAAAAATTCGTGCAAGGGATTATATTTTAAAAAATTATCGACACAAGGAAAAAACTAAAAAATATATATTCGTACAAGTTGAAAATGTCCCCCCCCCCACCCATCACTTTTCTAATGGTCCGCCCCTTATTGTACTCGTGCTCTCCGCGATATTTATACTGTTATCTTTCTAAAAAGTCAGTTCCTTAAATATTTTTACAGTGCATCTACAGTAAGTGGGCCCATTTAGAGAACACTAACCAATCACATTAATTACAGAACAAAAATAGAAAAAATCAACGGCGCATTAGCCAATTAGCATTAGGCCAAATTAAAAACAAGGACCTTCGCTCTAAACGTCGAGTTTCTGCTTGTTTTTTAAGGTAGTAATATAACCACTCCGCACAGCATTTTGAAAAGTAAACACTGCAGTTACTGGCTTCCTGAAGCGAATTCTATGCTTTCTTTTGATAATTGGACGAGCTTTAGTTTGATTAGATTTCTATTTTTGTTCTGCAATGTGATTGGCCATTCTAAACAAAAAACATACCTGTACTAACAAACTGAGGGAAAAAATATCCTGCCCCATTATTTGCTGGGGAAAAAATGTTGCAAAACAGCATGGTTGCAGGGATCGATTTGACCAGTACCAGAATATCAGCTTGTTTGATTTTCAGGGACTAGTGTAAGGTTAATTTCTTGTTGGAAAACTCCTCAAAGTGCTGGAAATAGCTTATCTGAGCTTCAAGAAATCCAATAATTTCTGGGGGCATTCCCCCAGACCCATCTAGAGGCTCTTATCTTTGGTGGTTGACTCAGTTGTCTCAGAATCATAGGTATGGCCTGATCTGCTGCCCTATGGCGCATACTTATTAGTTAAACTATGCATATATACAGGGACGCCGGCAAGGGGGGGGGGGATTTTCGTGGAAGGGCGCTTTTGAATTGATATATACTAAGAGATGTTTTCAAAACATCGGAAGTCGAACTTCGTCTAATCATGTGCTCTATTTATTGGATGATAGGAGTGTGAGGGGGTTCTCTGCCAGGCGATTGTGCTATTCTTGAAGCTTGATGACTGCATTTCATGCGTTTTCTGAAGCAAATTTGTAAAAGAATTGCACTAACATTTCTGAGAATTCGCTATTTCGCCAAGGCAATCCTTTAAATTGAAAGGGCACCTTTGCCCCCCTTGCCTCTCCTGGTAAAGGCAGAATTCGCTATTTCGCCAAGGCAATCCTTTAAATTGAAAGGGCACCTTTGCCCCCCTTGCCTCTCCTGGTAAAGGCGCATATATATGCTGCAGGTAGCTGCAGCGACACATATATATGCTGCAAGTAGCTGCAGCGACACAGACTTGCCGACTGGAACTTCTCCAGGTCCCATATATGCTGAAGGTAGCTGCAGCGACACAGACTTGCCGACTGGAACTTCTCCAGGTCCCCCGCTAAATATGTCATCTCCAGTTACACATCCTTACAGGGCCGTAGCAACAGTCCCCCCCAATAATTTGGGCTGCAGCCCCCCCCCCCCAATAATTTGCTAATAATCATTTTTTCAAAATTATGCAGACCTTTGTCATTTAATCCATGACAAACTGCAAAGAATGAAGATATTACCCATACTTTCCTGCAACTTATCCAATATATAGTTAATATATAATCCTTGGCTGTCCATGGCACTCAAATAAATCGAAAAGTTGACAAAAACAAAACAGTAAAAACAACATTGCCGATCGATTTTGCTGAGGG